AAAAAAATTTTGGTTCGTAATACAATTTTAGAAAATTCTCGAAAATCCAATAGGTTACTGTTAACAGTTGCAACTAACCTCAACTCGGGTATTAGTCGAAGGCAGTGAAATTGGAGCTAAAAAGCTATTGTCACTGACTCACGCTCATACGGTTTCGATCAGATCGAATTAAGGTTACGTTCACAGGAAACGAAAGCGATTGCGACGGAAATGGGTTACAGCTTCTCATAAATTGGTCCTAATCGAGGACAATGAGAGACGCCATTTGGGCGTAGCAGTTTTCCAATAAAATTGACCAGTCCAAAGCCCCCAGTGTACCCAACTGGTTACGGGTGTATATAGGATTGCCTGTCGCCAGGCTCATTTTCAAACAAGCCAGAACACTGATATCGGGTATCAATTATAACGAGTCCACTAGAAAATCCCTATGAAAAATGGCTCCGGCAGCTACTGTATATCAAGTTCAAAGTAATAACGAATTTCCATACTATCCCTCCGGACGCAAATGGCTGTTGGTCGGTATAGAGCGAAAAGGGTGAAAATTGTCAAATTTCTATATCCATACGATAAATTAACCTGTACGGGGTATAGTAAATTTTACTTGTTCAAGAGAGGATATTCCCAGTCAGAGACGCTGGTGCGGTTCTCCAACTGTTGGAATAATCTCTTCGTCTAAGACCAAAGTTTCCACATAGTTACAATGCAGTCGTAGACGACGACGGTTCCAGTTTATTTCTATAGTCGGTTCGCTGCCGGAAGAATAAAATATAACCGGGATTTTCCTTTCCTGCAGGATATTTCTGGTTTACCTACATACTGTACCGCGTATACCGATATGCTGGACCTCAGAGTTTTCAACTAGTGACGTAGCTATAGATTTTCAGAAAATAGCCAGGAAAAGTTGCTCGCTCCTGGAAACGAGAATGATGACGGCATACGCGGTTGGTTACATATGTATGTAAAGTGCAGCGACGTTATTCCAGAGGCGAGAATTCACGGCTTCCTCTCTTCCTGTGATCCCGAAAGGAAATTTCGAATAAGTATCTATATTTAATGGAATTTCGAAAAATATCAAAATCCTACCAGCACTCAAATTTAGGATCGGAGTTATTGAGGAATTTTACATGTAAATTGAGAGCAGACGTCTGCGTGAAATTGGCCGAAAATCATGTAAAGTGAAATGGAGAAGAGAGAGGGGGAGAGGGGAGGGATGGATGTTAAACTAAGACAGTCAATATAGAACAGACTGAGAAAGAGATGGAAACGGAATGGAAGAGAAAGAGATAGAGAAAAGCGACAATGTGAATTTTTCAGACGAACTCTGTCCCGGCTCACGTTTGGTAGTTTCACGTAAAATGGCCCATTTGTCATAGCACAACAAGAGAATGGGTCAGGGCCGGAGAGCCGCGTAAAGAGTAACGTTGTAGCGCTGCTTTATGTGTGGAAGACCAAGTGTGACAGGAGAAAAACGTGGCAGCCATAATCCGAGGAATTACCACACGTTAAGCTTTCCGGCCAAGTAATCCCTCCTCCTCCTCCCCCCTCCCCCCTCCCTCCCACATTTCCTATTTTCTAGTTTTTCACCGTTTCTTTACTTCCCAACAGTAAATACACAGTCTGCTTGTCCTCTCGTTCTCTCTTTTGCTTCCTCTTTTACTCATTCCCTACTTTCTGATACTTTTCCTTCGATTTTATTTCTCTTCCTTTTTGTTCCCTTATATTACTTTTTTCCCCCAATTTTCTCGATTTCCTCAATTCTCCAAGGACTTATCGCAACGACTTTTACACGATTTCTGAGGTTTATAGTATATGTCTCTACGTAGTGTTATCGCATAGCCATACGGTTGGGACTCGATAAAAAGGAAAAACAATGAGAAGAACCACATTTACACGTGTGTGTGTATATATATATATATAGATCTGGGAAAAACTCTGGTTCGGTGAAACTTGCGAAAATGTCCCATCGGCCAGGACTGTTATCGCATCCTAAAAACTTGGAGGATCGTAGCGAGAAAAGTTAGACAAACGTTAGATATACGAATAGAGGTCCCTTTATACTTTTTACAGATTTTTCGCGAATGTAAGTAATTTAGCGAAATTGCAGGAATCGATCCTCGCAATTTTGCGTTTTTTTTTTTTGCCCTGGGAAGACGTTACCGTACAAATGTATTATTACGACCGAACAATTTTGCCAATAAAATATACAAAATTTTTCCAATACACCCGACTGTGCATCCGAATTAATTTCTTCTTGTCTCGGGCATCCGTGACTGAATCACCGTTAAAGATTCTTGGCTCGATTAATTAACTCTTTAATAGAATTATAATTATTCATAGCTGCAATCCCAAGATTTAACATTAGTTCCGAAACTGTCGTTGGCAATTGAAATTATTCCGTCCCACCCCCAGCATCGTTCTTATCTACCTAGTGATATCTCCTATCTTCCTTCCCACCTAAAGCCTACAGCAGCTTCCATCTCCCATCTTGAAAATCTTCAACATTTAAATCACTTTTCTCTATGCTACAGAAACTTTTCCATTTAATACCAGTTTAATACTTAATACTTGCAGGCAATACGGATTGCGAAGACTGAGAAAGCTAAAGGGAAGCAAATGCCCTTTTTCCCTACAGTGGCAACGGAGTCGATGAGATGTTAATAAAAAAAAAATTCAAATTTGATCGATCAAGTTTTTTCGTCTCGATAAGATAAGTTATAATAATTCATACATTTTGAAGAAAAAAAATTATTAAAAAAATTACCTCAAGCATCGGACGAAATCAACGGCGGATAAATAAGGTACAGAGAAGAGAGTTAAGAGAAAATAAAAGTTACGGCGAACGGGTTTTCTCTCCCCGATGCGTTTCACGTGCCGTTCAAAGTTTCTTGCGTAATGAAGGCCGAGTCTCGGCCGCTCGGAAAATTTTCCGGTAAACTCAGGACACGCAAGAGCCCAAGCTCCCAGCCGTGTAAAAGCTACCCGAGAGTAAAGTTACTTTCAGGCAGTTTCTTCCCGGTGCCTCGTATGCTGGACTTCGTGGCTGCTTTCATCAGTAAAACGACCTCGTGCGCGTCTGACCTCACGAGGCATCTACTACTTCTTCTTGGCCGGGAGATCCCGTGGCATAACCTAACCTAACGATGGGGCAAATTCATGCAGGATATACATGTTATATTAAACGGAGTTGCGAAAAGTCCAAAAATACAGGTTATACATAAAAAATAAAGCGACCGTTGTAGACGATCGATCCTAACTGGACAAAATTTAAATGACCCTTTACGTGATAGAAATACATTAATTAACGCCAGGTCTTCCGAGCTCCCCAGCATCCCTGGAGGAGGATCACCATCACCATGGCAATCCCATAAGTCTTTCGACGCGGAAATATCGACGGTCCTGGACCAGAAGTATACCTAACTCTAATTAATTTGGTTCCAGGACCCTCAGCGAATTCTAATCAGTGAATTAAAGTGAATGAGATTATCTCTCACGAGGCTAACAATATATTATACTTTGGACCTAGGGAAATAAGAGACAAGTTCATCGTGATCAGGCGATGCTATAGCTTTCTCGAAAGCTTGAATGCACCTATTTTTAAACGAACACTTGGATACGAATCTTTCAAGAGTGAAAATATACCCCAGTCACCCCTTGCGCCCCTCCTTTCATTGGCAACCCTTACGCCAAGGGATCCACCTTGGCGCTAATCTCAGATAGCTCTTTGCATACGTCATTGAAGAGACGTCGAAAGATCAAAGCAGCTATCAGGACGATCGCCCTGAGGTTCTAGGTTACTGGCACGAGGGTCTCCGGGTATTTACGAATGCGGCCGAGTTCTTACGGAAAGACACGAAAGAGCAGGGAACATCCAGTGTCCGTATGGTAAACAGCTGGAGGCGTTTGAGAGGATTACTTTGGAGATAGCTGTATGTATATTGTATGAGGCTGAAATGTATTTTCCTGACCAGAGGGCGAAGTCAAAGAGAGAAGGTCGAAGGAAGTATTAAAAAAAAAAAAAAAAAAAAATTTGAAATCTCCGACCGAGATTCCTCGCGGCATCGTCCAACTAATTCAAGAGGAATTTTACGTGGGAGCTGAGAATCGTTTGGCCCTCTTGACAAGACCCAGGACAAACGGACGCCCCTGATCGAGGCGTCGTCTCCGGCGTCGGTATCCCTTTTAGTAGCGAGCCCCATTACGCAGTCCTTGACATCGGCCTCCAGATGCACTCCATCAGCAGCATCGATCAGCAATTAGCAAATGAGTGTGCTCTGGCACTCGAGGACAGGGGGGCTAAGAAAAGGGTAGTCTCCCATGGAAATGCAGATCTTGCGCCAGCCAGATCTAAGCGACCCCAACCCAACCCTAACCTCCGCGCTATGCACCCCACACACTCGCCTTTCTTTTCTCTCGCGAAAAGCACTCTTGGCACTCTATAGGTTGCTCTCTCTCTCTCTCTCTCTCTCTCTCTCTCTCTCTCTCTCTCTCTCTCTCTTTCTCTCTCTCTGAGCTTGCTCCTCGCCCGGAGGAAGTATTGGCGAAAGTCGAACTGTGAGAAGCTTGGGAAGAGATTTTCGATTTTTGCCAAGTTTTATATGCACCTCCTCTTAATGGCTTTCCTGGATATCGAGTGGATGCTGACTTGGGAAAAATCTCATAGCCACTCGTGTATTCTTCCAAGGACTATCTTTGGACTTGCGTCACGTATCTTTGATATCGGAATGTACATGCGCGAATCGGGAATATATTGAATGTCTCTCTCTATCTCTCGATCCGCATCTCTCTGTCTCCTTAACAGCTGCTCTACAGCAGCAGTAACTAGTAATATTGGGAATAAACTTTGTTCCTTATTAGATGATAACATTTTTTTTCAAAATCCAACCCAAAATGCCATTGGGCTTTGTATGTCTCTGCAACTAAAAATCCTTTGAATCTTTCTTTTTGTTGCTCGGTTCACTTCTGATGTCTGATATTTTTCTTTTTCTTCTTTGAATTTTCAGGTGCGATATTCACTCATGACCAAAAGGATAGCAGTATCGAGCTGGCGTTCAAGTACGCAGTCTCCAGGATCAACAGGGAAAAGATTATACTGCCCAAGACTACGTTGCATTACGACGTCCAATACGTCCCCAAAGATGATTCGTTTCACGCATCCAAAAAGGGTGAGTTACTCGTTATCACGTATCGCGTTAAACGGAAGCAGATTTAACCCTTGCAAGGACGCTCTTTGGGGAGGATAATTTTTTGTTAATTAAAATAACATTAGACATAAAGGTTAAAAATAATTATTGCACATATCTACGAAACGACAAAACCTAAGACTGACAATAGACGTATTAATAATGGAGAAATACAGATTTTCCTTCTACCGTGATGAATTTCGGAATTTTTTTTTTTTTTTCAATAATTTTATTTCCACCCTGATATTATATAGTATATTAGTATAGTATATTAACCCTGATAGTATATTAACTCGTTACGTCTTTCAGAGCCCACGTAATGTCCAAGAACGTGTGTGGAAATCCCCATCTGTAAAATCTCTAGGCCGTTACCATGGGGATGTTAGGAGTTAAAAGATAAAGACGCGGAATAGGATAGGAGAGATCGGGAGTGTGAGAGAGAGAGAGAGAGAGAGAGAGAGAGAGAGAGAGAGAGAGAGAGGGCGAATTTCCAGAGCAAAAGGTTTCCGTGCGATTAACTCATCCTGGAACGATTTTTCGGGAAACTCCCTCCTACCCTTCATTTTCATCCCTCTGCAATCTCACTTCTCTTTTCTCTCAGCATCCCACCAAGAATACTCTCGAATGGCACGCCGATATCTACTTGGAACTTTTAACCTTTCTTTTTCGTCTTTTCTTCTTTTTCTTCTATTTTTTTCTCCTTTTCTTTACTCTATTTCTTACGCTTCACGTGCCAGGGAAAGACCCACCCTGTTTTAAAAGGCTGAAGCTAAAAGTCCAAATGGAGCGTCAGAATATTATAAGGGTGGATATGGCGACCACCATGGAAATTCCTGAGTTACAACCCCTAGTCATGATGTGTTTATCATTTGCCACGATCACGTGATACCCGTATTGCAGAATTGAAAAAAATTTCTAATTAAAAAAAAAAGTCTTATTGAAATAATCCGGTAAAAGACCGATCCAGACAAAAGGACTAATTAGCGATCAGTATCATTCCCACGTGTAAAATTACCATAAAGTAAACGTCGAGTTAAGGGCGATTAATTAAAATGTAAATTTACGTATAACGATCCGGGGATAGCTATGTAAATGGCGTTAAATACTCCGAAAAGTAATCAAGGCTGATAACAGCAATAACTCGATGACTCCGAGTGCCAATAAGGAAGTCCCGGGGAGAAGTAGAAATAGCCTGTTCGTAGCCAGACTTGTACGGGATGTGAGTACAGTGGAGGACGGTGCTAGGGGCCATTAGGGAAGGACAGGAGATCAGGGAAAGGAAGAAAGGTGAAAGGGTAGCGAGACGCGGGGCTAGTGGAAAACCGAGTGAGTGGCGAAAGGGGAAAAGGGGGTTGTGGAAGGAAGAGAATAAAAGTGAAGTGGCAATAGTCGGCATCGAATTCCTTGAACTCTATTTGCCACTCTCTTTCGAAAGCACATACTATACATCTAATGCCCAACAGCTGCGACCTACAACCTACAACCTCTACTGTGTGTATACGTAGGTACGTAAACCCGATAAAATTCAATATCAACGTTAATTCGACGCGCTCGAGTCTTTTCGGCTGACGGGATGCTGCACGGTAACTGATAAACGATAAAAGAGAGTATCAACGTGTACAACAAATACAAAAATGACATTTAAGAGGATTTACCTCGCTCGGTCGTATACGCTATAGGATAGTAGGTGGTGTAAAAAGATAAATTAAAAAAAAATCAACTTCACCCTCGTTTTTTATTTTATTTTTTATTTTTTTTTTGTTTCTCTTTCATCAGACTTCTTTTTTCGTCGCTCGTTTGACTTTCGTCGTCGTAAATTTTCATTCTCATCGGCAATTAGTTACGAGCGATTATCCCAGGGCACGCGGCCAAGAAACCTGCGGATGTCCATACTCCTTCGCGAAAAATAAGGGATGAAAAAAAAAATAGAAAAAGGGGTGGACTGGGGTCGAGTGGAAGAAAGGAACGGTCGAAAGGATCTCGTCTTACGGTTCTCGTCCTGATTTTTCTGCTCTTTTTCCATCCACTAAATTTTACGTCTGCTCTCTTTATCTTACTACCCGAGACCATTCTAGGCTTTACCTATCTTGGCTGCCAAAAACAGAGATCTCTGCCGGAAGTTAAATTCGAAAAATCATCCGGTGCTCGACCATGGTCCAACTTTCTTTTGCCGATTGACGAAATTAAATAAATTTGACAAAACCCCGAAATAACGCGACAGTCCGAATCGTGGAGGTGATGGGGAAGAAAAAAAAAAAAGGTTTCACTCGGAAGCACGTAGCGACCATTTTTTGGTATCTCTGAAATTTCCGATAATCGACGGGCGGGCAGGAATTTTATTTTGTATTGAAATGGGAAACAGGAAGTTTTGGACGGGCAACGATTTCCAAGGATACAGATATTAGATACTGCTTTACATAGAGACAGCATTTCCTGTTGCTGGCCCTGGGCCCATCTCGTCACTATAAAACCTTATCAGGGGTTGGCTCCTCCGGCTTTTTGATTTTACGGTTATATTCGGGAGTGAGGTGGCGGGGCAGGACCTATCTGTACGAAACATAGGCGCGCGATAGTCACTCAGGAATGAGGGTCCTGGAAAATCAGGACACCAGAGACTGTAGTCCCCCATTACAAAAGGATCATAAAAAGTACTCGCTCCGCCCGAAGTATAATACCTGGAATACATGGTCAGAGTGGGAACAATTAAAGAAATGGGTATAATGAGATGGCCCTTGGAACGAGATGACCTTTGAACTTTAGGACCGTCATTAAAGTAAAAGAAAAATATTCTGGAATCATTGCAGAGTTCAACAGGGCGAATTAAATACGTGCTATTTCGTCCTGATGATTCTGTCGGTAAAAAAAGAAATCTGCAGTACCACGCAAATCCAGGAAACGTACGATAAACGAAAATTGTATATTTTACGAAAAAATATATATCCTGCCAAGCATAATACACTCGGACTAAAACTGTCGGTATCTACAGGTACTTCCGAAATTTCCACGTCGTCCTTATTCCCCGTGTAAATAACCAAAAGCGACTAGAGGCTGTTTCACCCTGAAAATGGTTACCGTCATACAGTTTCGAAGTATTGCTGATAGACAGAGTCCCGCATAAGGAGAGCATTGTCGTCGCGACGTCGATGCCTCGTTGAGACGAGGACGTGACGTCATCCCGCGTGCTCGAGGAGCCCACTTCACGTTTGTCCCCGATCCGTAAGAGTGGCCCAGTAGAGAGGTCCGGGTCTTCAGGATCCTCGATCCCCCGAGTCGAGTCTGAAAACGCGAGAGAATCGACAGTCGAAATTCAATCGAGTGGAGCATCCCCTCGCCTAGTCAGACAAACTAGAACAGTACGTTGCATAGCGCAGTAGGCATGGTATAAGACGCAGGAAAGATGCAGAGGCACAAGGTACGTAACGGAAAGGTAGAGAAAATCCGAGCCAAGGAGGCTAAAGTAGAGAAGGCCTGTGAAGAATCAGACCGAAGCCATAAGCCTGTTTCAGGGAGGATTTGCGAAAGCTCTTTGTGAATTTCATTTTTTTCTTGGCCACCCCGTATCATATATAACGCAGTTGCCGTATTGAATATTTCATGGTTGTTATTTTGAACGGTCTCTTTGTCGCCGTTTCTTCAAGAGACTTTTAACACCCCTTGTACAAGGGTTGGAAAATCTTGTCTGTAAAACTGAAAAAACATATAGCACCATAACCTCGGAGATTTTCGGTATATTTATTCATCCTCGAATTAAATGCGAAAGTTAAATAGCTTTGAGGGTTTTCGAGTAAAAGAACTTTCCTTTGGCCACCCTCTGACTCTCTTCCATCTACGGTTTCCCTCGTAAGTGACCTAAGGAAAACACGCCCGAGGGTTAGTGAAATTTTGCACGAGGCAAGATGGATTTTAAAAAATGTTAATTACCGAGGGTTTTCTCTCTGCTTAGTTAAAGAGAGGTTGGTGGAGTTTCTCTTATTTTTTCTCGCCCCCCCCCCCCCC